ACCAGCAGGACCCACCCTATACAAGGTAAAGAAAGTAAAGAGACCTTTCTCAGGACTAGGAGATGCCAGGTTCTCTTGGTGTTTCTGGTAACCAGATGTCCATGAAGTCTGAATTTCTCTCTAGTGTCTCATGGTACAGATCTCCTCTACCCGCAGATTCTGTTTACCAGGGCAGCCTTCAGCTTCTTCTGTTCCCCTTCAGCCAGTCTTGCCTTGTTAAGTTCCTGCCGAATTGAGCTAACTCTGCAAACCTGATTAAATCTCAAACCAGGGCTTTGGAAATGACAGAATAGCAGCCCCTTGCCAGCTTGCTGACATGTAATTTATTGCTGTGTTCAGGTGACTATAAATCAGGAGACTTTCCTTACCTGTCCGCCTTGGATGGAAAGAGGTAGAAATGTTTGTGGTAGTTAATATGGGAAAGGTTGGGAAGGCAAGACACTGTTTATTTGAGAATCCCGGGCTTGGAAGGGACAGAAGCAATGAGTAAAACAGAACTGTCATGGCAGAGAATGATAAGGAGAGGGGGCATGAAGGAAGGAGGGTAACACCCATCACATGGTTTCCAAAGGATGTAGCCATGCCCCCTGGTTGTATACCCAAGGTGTTCTTGGCTGGTGCAGTGACATGGCACCAAAAAACATTGAACCACAGAGTAAGAAAGCGATTCTCTTTCCAATTCTCTCTGAGGCTTATGATTATCTCAAAAAGATTCTAGGAGAAAACAGGCTCAGACCTGGAATGTTTCCAGAGACAGCACTATCCAGCTGGAATATAGCAACACTTTTATTTCCAGTGTGCTTATTTATGTGTTACTTTCTATTTATTGCAAGTGATGTTGTTTTCTGTTTACAATGGGGATATACAAACTCCTTTAAAATTAATCTATTAGATTTTTAACATAAAGTCAGTTTAAAGCAAAAAAAAATAAAGTAAGTAAATTATAGGTGGGACTCAATTATGGTAAAAAAAAAAAAAAAAGTGACTGTGGGGCCTGAATGACTGATGTTTAGAGAGAACTCAGATATCCCAGAGTTCTGAATGTAAAAATTATCCTGTTGCCAACGTCATCCATTCATTCATTTATTCAGCATTCAGTACAATAGAAATTTCAAAGAAACCTTTCTTTTCTTTGATTTTACAGATTCCAGAAAGAATTTGGAGATTGAAAGATTTAAGGGAAAACGTTGTTTTAAAGTACCTGACTTACTTCAAAGAACAATGCCAGAAACTTAAAAAGGTATTATTAACCACTAATTTAAATTTGATCTAATCAACTAGTCTCCCTTGTTGTTAGTTGTCATTGAGTCAGTGCCAACTCATAGCAACCCGAGGTACAACAGGATGAAACACTGCCTGGTCCCGCACCATTCTCACAATGTGAGTTCATTGTTGCAGCCACTGTGTCAGTCCATCTCGTTGAAGGTCTTTCTCCTTTTCGATGACCCGCGACTTTACCAAACATGATGTCCTTCTCCAGGAACTGGTCCCTTATGATAACATTTCCAAAATACATGAGAAGAAGTCTCGCCATCTCACTTCTAAGGAGCATTCTGGCTGTACTTCTTCCAAGACAGATTGTTTTCGTTCTTCTGGCAGTGCATGGTATATTTAATATTCTTCACCAAC